AATACCAGTAAGAATTCTTACCCGAGAGCCTAACAGTGATGGTGTTGCAGGAGCTGTGGCCTCTGAGGCTGTTTGTTCAAATCCTTTTGTTTATTATAAGCTGGAATGCAGGGCCGTGGGCTGGGGTGGAGAACATTAGCATGGTGCCTGCATGACACTTGTGATTAACAAATGGTATCTTTGTTTGAGTATCTGCAGCTCCTGGGGCTGGGGGGGCTGTGTCTGGAAAAAGGAGCATGTGTCAAGTGGCTCAGTTGTGTGGAGCAGATGCTGCAAGCGGAGGAGGAGAACTTTCCCCTGTTCAGTTTTGGTCAACTGGTTTAGAATATGGTCTAGAAACAAACCAATCAACTTCATGAAGACTAAAACAGAACTTTACAAGGACTGGGCAGAAAATGGTGATCTAGAGACTGGTAAAATGTTTTATTTTGTGTACTGGTCTATAATTGTTTATATCTTGCTGTTTTACTTGTCTCCCATTTCAGATTAGTGATAACTGTGTTTTAAATACTTAATACTATTAAGGCAGATAATTATGTTTAATGGTGGAAGAAATGTAGCTCAGTTAGCTTCTGGAAATATGATTCCTGAGGAAGTGTTGCTGTGCAGAAGGGATTGCTTTTCCTAACTATTTCACTTTATGGTAAAAGTTCTCTCTGCATGGAGAGAAATAGAAAGTATAATAAATGATGCTTAATTCCTTTTGTTCAGAGCAGGTTTTATATCGATGTGCAGGTATCTACCAAGACTTTCTTTTGAACATCACGTGCCCACGACAAAATACTATTAACTGTACATCATGGTTTTTATTTCTTTGTTTGTGGGAATGGACTGGAAGGAAAATAAACAGGCTGAGTATTAAACGGACTCTCTTATCTGACCAGAGACTTAAAAAATACTTTGTTTACTGCTCTGATATGTGCTTTGAATGTCTAGATGCATAGCAGCTGGTGGTGGTGCCTGCAGACAGGAATTTGTGCCAGTGCAGCTTTTTGTGTAGTAGAATGTGCAATGTGCAAACAAGCAAGAATTTGAGTGAAGTAATGGAAAACAAATTAGCCTGTTTCAAGTCATTTGAGGTTTTCAGAGTGCTCTGCACTCAAGGAGACAGTGATGGTGGGTCAAAGAGCAAGAAAGGGAGAAATCTGCTTTCAGAATCTGGGGTAAGGTTGCACAGGATGTTGTTGGTATACTGATCCTCAGCCACATGGGAAGAGGCAATACTTCTGGGGTGCTGCTCAACAGCAGCTGAATGAGGTGGTGTGTGCCCAGGTGGCCACGAAAGCCAGTGGCATCCTGGCTTGTATCAACACTAGTGTGGCCAGCAGGACCAGGGCACAGTGATTGTCCCTCTGTACTTGGTGCTGGTGAGGCATCTTGAACTCTTTGTTCAGTTTTGGGCCTCTCATGACAAGAAAGATATTAAGGTGCTGGGAGCATGTCCAAAAGCTCCATGTGTGCCATCTCTGTTTTTACATGGAAAGGACAAGGGGTAATGGTACAAGTTATTCCTGAGGAGATTCAGGACACAAGGAAAATTTTTCAAAATGGGAACAGCCAAGCATTGGAATAATCTCCTCAGGGAAGTGGTGGACTCCCCAACACTGGACACTATTAAGACTCAGCTGGACATGGTGCTGGGCCATGTAGTCTAGTCTGTGTTTTTGCCAGGAGAGCTGGACTAGATGATCCTTGAGGTCCTTTCCAACCTAGCATTCTGTGATTGCTGCTTGGCAGGGCTTTAACCATGCTTGTACCTTGTAAGCATGACCAGTTTTTTAGTGGGGACTCAGATGTTCTCTCTGATGGATTTTATCATCTGGTCATTGGTAATACCTTTCCCCAGTTTTCAGTCCAAATCTATTCTCTGTACTAGTTAATTGACTATATATTAATGTCAGCCTCATCTGAGATTGCATTGTTTCCTCTGTGATGTGTTGATCATCTGTGATGCTAACTTTTAATTAGAAAATTTAATCATACTTGTGTCGCTTCTTTAGCTGCTTTCACTGAGATAAGTTATTTAATAAAACTGATAAGACTTTAGAACACCATTTATTTATCTTCAATTTCACTTGATGTATTTTTTGTGCCTAGCAAGGTATTTCATGAAGAATTTTTCTTGTTCCTGTGTTTAGCTTTTACTTTATCAGGAATCATTGTGGAATTTCTGACTTGGAGATACTTAAATATTTCCCCTTATAAGAAAAATCATATTTTATGCTTATCTCCCAAAATCTAACCTTGTGTCTCCATCTCAAGCTGTTTTCTGGGTTTTCAGTGTGGATGGATTAAAGAAACATTAAACTATCTCAGTGCAGCTAGAAGGTTAAGATGATTCTGGCAGAAAGCAAAGAGGATTACTTTAAAGGCAATGAATATGATAATTTCCATACTAAATGTAATTGAATTGTCATGAGACACAGAAGATGCCAAACCTTGATTCACACATTCCCTGTGCAGAGGAAGGGAAGCCATGGCCACATCTGCAGCATAAATCAGGAGCTCGGTCTCTGGTGCAAATACAGTTTTGCATTCTTTTAAGCAAACATTTAAACTTTGTTTCTGCTTATGCCACTTACTCTATCTGTGCTGTTGAAGAGCTGTGCATTCCTTTTGGGTAGATCTGAAAGTTACAGTCTCTTTCTAAATTCTGTTAAAGTATTGGCTACATACTGTTCAAATGCACTGACTACATTAGCATATTGGCTACTTAGTATTCAGCCACATTCTTTCTCAAATCTAATCTCTCTTTTCCTTGGAAATTAGTGATAGGATTTTCTCTCCATTTCCTGAAGCCCAGCAGCAGTGTGTTTTCAATAAGCAAGTTTTCCCCCACATCTGTCCACTGGAGAGGTGTTGATTAGTGTCTCTCAGTACTTGAATTCTCTGAAGGAGTGTCAGCTTTCTAAGCAAGTTTAGAGTTTACTTTTCAAAAACCCATAGTAAGCACAGATCTATCTTACAAAAGAAAACACAATTCAATTTTGGTTGTGGTTCCTTTAGCTTCTCACTTTGAAAGTAATGCTAGGCTCTATCTGCTGCTTTTTGTCACTGTTCATTTGGTAGCTGTAGTGGATGTTGTCAGTTTAGTAGACTCACTATGTCAACTAGCAAAGAATAAGAACCAGATTGTTCTAATTGTGTTGGGGAATAGGTAGTGCTTGAATGCACTCGGAGGAGTGTGGAGTTCAGTCTGTGGTGGGAGACGTATCTTGGTCAGAGCTCCATGGATGGCTGGGTAGCAGTCCTGCAGTTGCTGTAAAGCTGCATCAAAGAATCATATAATCATAGAATCAACCAGGTTGGAAGAGTCCAACCCTACTGTCATTACTAGACCATGGCACGAAGTGCCACATCTAGTCTCATCTGGAAAAACAAACCTGGAACCAAACTGCTTTGTCTTGCACTCCTTTTGAAGCTTAGGAATAAAGGTGGATCCAGCACCTGAAGGAGCAGGAGGAACAGTGCCCGATGTGGAATGATTCTAGTAATCTCTTACTTTTTGGTGTTGTGGCTCAGTACTCAGTACACAGTGTGGCTCAGAGGTGTAAAGCTTCCAAATATAGCAGATGGAATTATGACTTATTTTTCTCTTCCTCACATAATTGTGTAAATGCATGTGTGCTGGTTCTGGTGCATGCTGGAAAATAAGACAGCTTGATGTCCTTGCTAATAAACAGGAGTAATATGGTTGGCAAAGTATGGTGAGAAGCAGAAGGGAGCCAGAATGAGGGCAACAAAATGTAACTTCTGGGGGCCGTAAATGAAAGCTTAAAGAAGCAGGAAGGTGTTCCCTTAGGGGGAGCTTGGGACAAGTACCACTGTTGCCTGAAGTCTAGTGCTTGTGTCTCTGGTGGGTCATGCTGAAGTTCTCTCTGTGTTCCCCTAAAGAAACTTCTGTTGGAAACATGCAGAGACTATGCTAAATCTCTAACAGATGGCTTAGGAGGCCACCTTGGCACAGCTTCTTGTCTAAACGTGGAGAAATACGTAGGTAAATTTATTAAAGGAACACTAGGTTTGAACAAGTAGCTGTGTTAATGTCATATGAGAGAAAACTGTAATATCTGATCTGTTTTGCTATTTCATGGCCCAGATGGTTGGTATGAAGTTCATTATGTTGCCATGAACTAGAGAGTGCTTGGAGTTATTTTTATAACAGTATGTGCTTGAAAAATATTTCAAACCTTTTTAAAGCTTTGCTTTATCTAAAGTTCATTGCTTTTTAATAAGTAAACCCAATCAACTCCTGAATCTTTCACAATCTCTTATTAATTAAAGCTGATTTGCCTCAGTGGTTTGACATAATCACACTTGAGATACTGAAGTACAATTCAGTTGTTGGATATTCAAAGCAACATCTCTTTTCTTTTCCCTTCTCAGTGTGTTCTGTATGGTCCTGTCCATGCTCCAGAGATGGTTTCTGCTAGGGTAAAAAGACTTAGCAAAGCTGTAACTCCAGTAATGTAATAACCACCTGCAGTGTCTTGATGTCCAGTGTGTCCTGACACATCGTTTTTCGTGCCTGTCAGCCTTCCTGTTGTCATATCCTGATGCTTGGTCCAACTTTGGGTTGCCCAGGTTGCAGTGCTGACACTATAACAACATCCTTCCCCATTTCTGAGAAGTCATAGGCAATTTCTCAGATGAAGCCATTCTATACTTCTTCAGTATTCTAATACCTCTGTGCAAATCCTGTCAATAGTTCACACTTCTGGTTTAAGCCACTAGTGTATGTTTTGGCTTTCTGTGACTCGGAGAATGTTTGCAGAATTGGCAGCTATTGGTTTTTACTTCTTTCTTCAGTCAGTTAGTGGGCAGTGAACAAGTATTTCTTTTTTTAAAAATCTGTTTTGGTGGAAAATCAGGAACATTCTAAAGTCAGCAATTACTATCCCATAACTGTATTTACTCCAAACAGTATTCAAGCCACTGCATCAAGGTCATATTTTGCTTTGATACAATAGTTTTGGTATTACTCCATTGAAGTAGTCTCTATGAAGTTGATTTTCCAGTATTTAGCTGCAGTTCTTTGTTCACAAGGGAGAAAATCTGAACACTTATTTTAATTCTCTACAGGTGCAGATGCTGAGCAGGATGCTGCTATCAAACTTGCCCAAGAACGAGCAGAGATAGTTGCCAAGTATGACAGAGTAAGTGAACTTAACAATTTTAAAGACATTTTATAATCAGTCTTAGTAATATTTCTGTTTAAAAAATGAGTTGTGGTTCCAGCTAGCTGCTGTTTAAAATACCCTGTGTAGTACTAACCTGATGGTCTCGTGATACAGTGGCCTCTGGGTGAATTAAATTCTCCCCTCCATGGAGGATATTCTGTATGACCTAACTCATTTTTCAGGTGCAAGGCAAGTTGCTTTGGGGCTATTTTAAGGTAGTGTAACATGTTAGAAGTAATGCAAGTACATAGCAGTGACCAGAAGAGATTTACTGCGATGAAAATATTGTTCATAGGGGCTGGAGAGGTGTTCTACTCTCCTTTTTCTTGGCTGGTCAGTTTAGGACTAGTGTCTCCTAGTCCTCCTCTAACCTACTACCAGCATGTCCCAAACATGATGCTTTGAGTCATTCAGTGTTGTCTAATGTGTAAGTTTATTGTGTCATAATTTGGCTCTTTTTTTTTTTCCCTTTAGGGACGTGAGGGTGCACAGATTGAACCGTGGGAAGATGCTGACTATCGTCTTTACAAAGTCACAGATAGATTTGGGTTTCTACAGTAAGTAGCAAAAAGCTGGTAAAGAAAATAAGATGAAGAGTTTGCTACTATTGCTATTTATGCTTTTTATTGTATTGCCTATTTGGTGAAAGTTTTATGATGCCTTTAAATAGATCTTCTGGAAAGTGCTGTGTAAGTGTTGCTGCTGGATAATCTTTCACTGTGCTTTTCAATTCAGTTTCTATTTCTGCAGCTTGATCCTACACAGGGAGTGAAATGCTTTGAAATATTTTAGTTGGGAATGAAAATTGCTAGTCTACAGAAAAGATATTTCAAACTGAATTGCAGATAAATGTTGGTTTCAGATAATTTAGTTACATTGAAACAAACTTGAAGTTCTTGGAAGGATTTATAAAAATTTTGTTAAAATGTTGATTTTAAAAAAGATCCCAACACATTAAGATTACTTAATGGTTGTACATGAGCAACTGTGTGTCCCAGCCCTAAAAGATAAATATCATTTGACTTCATGTGTCTAATACCCTTACTGAAATCTCTGCTGATTTGGGATCTAATGTTGAATCCTAGTCAGAACATGCCAGAGTCCAGGTCCAGTTCCACTATAGGTGCCTCCTCTGTAACATAATCCCTATCTTTTTGGCAAATGAAGGATTAAAACATTTAATTGTATTAGGATTTTTGTGGTTGGCAGATGTAAATATCCAGCCTGCAGGAACTGAACACAAGCTGACTTGCTACTTTTGATAATAGCAGGACACTCTGCGGTTCTTGGGGTTTGGCATTTATGTCTGAATACATGAAATGCAGTTAAAAAACAGGAAAATCAGTGCTGAGAGGAAAACTTAGTAATAACTGTGTAATTTACAGTATTGGGGAGGGTTGTGTGTATGGTTTGTTTATTGAGGGATTTTTTTCCATCTTCCTTCCCTTTTGCAATACCATTGTTTTTATCATCTGTCAGTCAGAGTCATCTTTACCTGCAGATTGCTTTTGCTTTGTTGGGGTGAGTTAGTTTGGTGATGACCTCCAAACAGTTCTGTTTTACAGAGAGGCCATTGTGCTGGTAAGCTACAGCTGCAGCACCACGTGTCTGCTGGTGTGGCTGCAGTTGCAGCATTCTCAGTGGAGAATGAGTATGAGAGTTACTTCTTGTGTGGAAGGAATGGAAACCAGTGCTGAGTTTGCCACTGACTGTGGTGTCCCTGTGAACTCCTGAGCTTTGCTCGTTACTTGTATTGTGATACTTGCATTTTTCTGTGTTAAGCATGGAAGATTGTTGCTCAAGATCTCTCCATTTGCTGCTGCAGTCAGTTTTCAGGAGTTTTGCATTACCCACCTGCATTGCTGTGCTGATTGCTGTAACTCAGAGCTGCCTTGGGCACCCTTACATCCCACTGCAGTCATTCCTGGGCTGTGGCAAGGTGGATGGACCTTGGTCATCAGCCCAAACCTCCTCCCTATGAATGTCTTTACTCACCAGTGCAGATTTCTCTGTGTAGCCAACTTCAAGGGGTCAAACCTGAAAGATTTATGATGCGTGAAGACTGCACAAATTGGCAGTGTATCTGGCTAATCTCCTCACTCATTGTGCATGTTTGTATATATCTATGTCTTGGTACAAGGCAGATTTCACCTGAGAGTGAGTTTCACCTGTGTTGGGGGAGGTTTAGGTTGGACACTAGGAAGAATTTCTTCACAGAAGGGGTGACTTAACATTGAAACAAGCTGCCCACTGTCCTTGGAGGTGTTTAAGGAGGGACTGGAACTGGCACTTAGTGCCATGGTCTAGTTGACTTGGTGGTGTTTGGTCAAAGGTTGGACTCAATGATCTCAGAGGTGTTTTCCAGCCTAATTGATTCTGGGATTCTGGGAGTGCTCACAAGGCTGCTTTGTGATTCTTTAAGAGAAATTCATTGCAAACAATGGTTTTTTTTATTCCTGAGAAATAAAATCTCTCTTAATAGAAGAAATGTAATTAGGATAAGCTTATTCACTGTCTTGCCCTGAAAAGACAATTTGTATTGCACTATGAATTTTAGCTATGGCCTGGTTCTTGCATGCTGTCACACTGAGCTGGTGCAGCCTGCCCTGCCTGAAAGAAACTCCTGTTCTCTGAGCATTTGAAATTAAGCAGGATGGACCAAAAGCCTCAAATAGTTATCATCCATGAGAGCCATCATTCCCTGTGACCTGCCAGGCGTATACAGTCTAAGTTAATAAACTGGCTGATACACATTGAAAACTGAACATCTGTGGCCACTGTCAAACTTACTTGTCTCTAGTTAAGGTCCACAGTGATTTGTGATCTCGTTTATATTGATATCTTAAAATGCTAAGTAGGTGAAAAATGACCTTTGTATCAGAAGGGTGCTGGGTGTGAGGGACCTGATGGAAGATTAGGGCTTGTTTTCTCAAGTACAATAGGCCTTGATTGCTATCGGTAGTTTTCTCTCTTTGCTTGGCTGTGTCCTGTTTGCAGCTTTCCTTGGCTCTGTGAAGGTGCATTCAAAGTTCAGTTGATGGCTGATAGAGCAGAAAAGACCATTTTGATGGCATGAAGCACTCGGGCTGCCTCTGAAACTTGCCACTGGCTAAAAGATGGGCGAAGGTGAAGACTAGGGACTTTAAAAGAATAGTTTTGGTCTAGATCTACAGTTGTTCTGATGTCTCAGTGTTCTTATTTGCATGTTAAACTGGGGATTTGTAAACTTTGGGATCCTGAAGACACTTACACTGCTGTTTTATTCCTGCCATACCAGTAGAAGTGGGCTGAGGTTTTCCTCAGAGAACATACTGAGTAGCAGAGGGAAGAGTCTTTTATGTAACTGGAGAAATTGGATTGTGATTGGAAACAGATAGGACATTTCCCTTCAAATGGAATATCTCACCTTCGTTTAAGATGTATGATCAGTTGATGTATCTTTGGTCAATTCTAAGTGCTCGTGGTCTTGTATTTATTGTTTACAATACTTAGGATCATCTTTACCCAGCACTGCCTTAAATTTTTAGTAGCTGTTCCCTTAAGAACACAATTGAGCTTGTTTGCTGGAGTGCTTTATTTTGCAGTTCTGCAAATGAATGTGGATGCTCTAGTTAACTTCAGATATTAAAAGGAAATTGGTGTGGGCAGGTTAATAAGATAGCTATTAAAAACAAAGTACACCAGAAAAAAAGCTGAGTTAATATCTAGTGAATTTAGAGAACTAGAAAGTATGTTCAGTAAGTACCAAAGCATTATTATAATGAGACTTGTTTGAAATGAATAAAGGGAACTTTCAGAGGGAAGTTGGATGTGAGAAGAAGGTTTGCAGCAAAGCTAAGCTGTGAAATAATCCCTGGGGAGCCAGAGGGACCTGTCTCCTGAGATGTTTAGGATGAGATTGTAACAAAACAAAATGCTCCTCTGAGGATTGACTAAATTACAACAGGTATGAGCTGGTCTACTGAAAATGTGAATTGTATGTGAGAGGCAGGAAGGAACCAGGGGGAGCGAAAATCTCATTATTGGCTGAAATGTAGAAAACTTGACCTCGCCAATTCCTGCTCTTGCAAGGCTGTCAGGAAGTGGTGGGTCATGGTTTCTTTAAGCCTTGTGGGGCTGTGGGCAAACCAGTCTCAACTTGGGGAATTTTTGAGGTGATTTATTGCCAAATAACACAACATTCTGATAGCTGATATGATGGGAGACTCCAAAACGTGAAATTTTAACAGACACCTGGAGGAAACACCTGTCCCCACTCTGTCTCCAGAACCAACTTTCCGTGGTTTTTTTGCCATGGGTTTCCTTTGGCTCACCCCAGTTTCTTTGGTGAGGCAACAGGCAGTGCAGGAGCTCCTGTGTGTAATGGCTTCATTCTGCTGCTCCTGGTTTCTTACTTATTTTCATCTGCTGCTCCTTGTCTTAGGTGTTTTCTGCTGTCCCAGTGTGGGTCTCCCATGGGCTGCTGTTTTTTTGGAAATGTCTTTCCCCACCCCAACATGGAGTGCTTCCCCCTGTTCCAGCATCTCCTGTCATGTGTCTCTTCTGCCTCTCCAATTAGTATTGCTCCTCTTAATGAATATAGACTTGTTTCTGTCAAGTACTGTTGATCATCCTCAGTGTCACCTGCTGTACATGGAGTAGTGCCTATCAAAACTTTACACTTACATGTTTGTCCCAGAGAATCCCAAGTCAGGGAGGTCATCGTGTCACAACTGTGAGTATTGGGAGAGCAGCCCAGCAGATTTCACACAGGTGCACTGTGGTCACCAATAAACCTAAAAATATGATAAACCCCAAAACAAAGGCAGCAATATCCCTTCTCAAAAAAATCTTCAGGCATGGAACTTATTCAATACAATTTATTTTCTGATAAAAATCCTGCTGGACTCCTGATTTCACGTGATAGTGCAGGAAT